TCTGCAGCATTGCTATTTGCAGTCTCTGTCTGAAGCAGATTAAGCGTGGCCAAAACACCAGCCGCTTGGGCATCACATGCTTGACAAGACATATGACGAGCTGCCATGCAACCCATTGGCAACAGCACCTGAAAGGCCACATCTGAAAAAAGTACAGACTTCTTCTTGCTCCTCATCTGGGATCTCTACCTCCTCTGTAAAATGTCAGGTCTTCTCAACAGCCTCCACTGAGAGGAGTGATGGTACAGCAATGGGTGACACAGGTCCTGGCACCCCATCTGATAGCAGTACACCACCTGTTGATTTCAGCAGGAAAATTTCACTACCCATTTGCTGAATCGTGAAACAAAAAATTCTGTCCCCACCCATCCACATGCTCAGCATCCACAAATGCTAGCCTGACCAAATTGCTAGTATTACAACTGCTGCCTTTCCATTTGGTGGACTCTGCCCCCATCCGTGAATTTGCAGAATGTGCTGTACCACAGTGGCAGGTTCCGAAAAGACAATTCTTTTCACATAAGGCCATTCCAGCTCTGTACCATCATGTGGAAGGAAATGTTTTAGCCTCGTTGGACAGGGCAGTCAGCAGCAAGGTCCACATTACTGTTGACACGGGGTCCAGCAGGCATGGTCAGGGATGTTGCATATCCTTCACGGCACACTGGGTAACTCTACAAGCAGCTGGGAAGGATACAGGACAGGTTTCATTGCTGGAGCTTGTTCCACCACCACGCCTCCAAAAATCTAGTGGTAATTCTGCCACATCTGTCTGCCCCACCCCCTCCTCTTCCTCTGCCTCTATGGCCTTTTCTGCTGAATTGTCCTCTGAACCAGCAGTGCTCCGTAAGCATTCAAGGGGCTACACAAGCAGTCAGGCTAAGAGATGCCACGTGGTGCTTCAGTTGGTCTGTCTAGGGGACAGGAGCCACACTGGGCCAGAGATTCTGTCAGCTCTGCAGGGGCAGGCTCAGAGTTGGTTGACACCATGGCAGATTGAGCCATGAATGGTTGTATGCAACTATGACACCACCCTTGGCACATGTTCCATGCATGGCACAGGTCCTGAATTTGGTGGTGCAGTGTTTCTTGAACAGGTACCCAGGTTTCGAGATCTTCTGAGGCAGGCCATTTCCAGCAGTCATACACGGCCAGTGTTCGGCTGGCTGACATTCAACGGGAATTCAACCTGCCCACCAACCACCTCATTTGTGACATGTCCACCAGGTGGAACTCAACATTGGCAATGCTGCAGTGGCTGCACACACAGCAGAGGGCCAACAATGAGTACCTGTGTGAATATGGCACAAGGACAGGCTCAGGGGAGCTTGGCTTCTTTTTCACCACACCAGTGGCTGCTGAAAAGGATGCATGCACTGTCCTGTCACCATTTGAGGAGGCCACAGGGATGGTGAGCCGTGACAATGCATGCATCAGTGACATTACCCCTCTAGTCTTCCTGCTGGAGCACACGCTGTGGAATCATGGACAGGGCACTTGAGGCAGAACAGCGGGAGGAAGAGGAGGATTTCCTATCCTCTCAAGGCCCCCTTTATGCAGAAACCATTCCTGAGGGGCCACAAAACACACAGCAGGAGGAGGAAGAGAAGAGGAGGATTGCAGCAGCATGGAAGTAGAGGATCACATACAGCAGTCTTCAAGGGGTGGTTTTCAGTCCCCAGAACCCCAACCAGGAGTAGCATGTGGCTGGGAGGAGGTAGTTCCTGACAATGTCATCCTCAGTGACCCAGAGGACTCAGAATCTCCTGCCTCCTCAAACTTACGCTGCATGGGCTCCCTGATTCTGCAAAGCCTGTGTAAGGGCCCGAGGATTCGTGGTATCAAGGAGAGGGATCAATACTGGTTGTCAACCCCTCTTGATCCACGTTAAAGGGTGAAGTTGCAGAGCTCATCCAGTCTTCGCAGAGGGAGCAGAGGATGAAACATCTTGAGGATGCCTTAAAAAAAAAAGTGTGTGCAACACCTTTCCAGACAATGGGAGGTTACCATTTCCTGGACGTGTTTCTGAGGCTTCGTTCTGTCAAAGGAAGAGCGGTGGAGAAGGTGGCCGGCTGACCGATGCCTTCAAACAGTTCTTTAGTCCTCAGTGCCCAGGGATGTTAGGTTTAAGCACCCATCGGCAGGGTCTGCATCATATGGTGCAGGATTATCTAGGGGCAAGAGCAGACTTGGAGACCTTTCCAACTGAACATCCACTGGGTTACTGGGTCTTGAGGATGGATCACTGGCCAGAACTTGCTCAATATGCCATCGAGCTACTGGCCTGTCCTGCACCCAGCGTGCTTTCCAAACGGACATTCAGTGCTGCTGGAGGTTTTGTGGTGGATAAAAGAGTGCGTCTGTCCACAGACTCCACTGACCAGCTGACATTTATCAACATGAATCAGTCCTGGATCAACAGCAACTATCTTGTCCCTGATGCTGATGTAACTGATTCCATGTTAGGGATCTGGGATCCATTGAAGACTGCCTATGCTGCCTATCCTATTCCTCAATCCTGATTATGGTCGCTTCTAACAATTTGTTTGGTTTAGGGCACCACCTACACTCAAGGCACAATTTTTTGGCACCCGTTTCACAGGTACATGTCATTTCAATGTTTGTTTTACCATTTTTCTGTAATTGTTACTAATTTTTAAGGGGGGCCCCTGCCTGCGCCCAGCAAGAGTGACTGTGAGAGGTTACAATGTTCAGGTACCACCAACACCCAAGGAACAATTTTATTTATTTTGTACCCCTTTACTCATTCATAAGGGGGGCAACATCAGGGTGCCCCCCTTATTTAAAGGTGTACCCTGATGCTAATGATCCCCCTGACCCCCACAACAGGATTTTGGGGAAGAGGCCCTTGTCCCCATGCCGAGGGCATGTGACCTGGTAAGGCCCAGGGAGGGGAGGGCCACTTGTTCATCCCCCCCTTTCCAGGCCTAATTGGCCTGTGCTCGGATCAAGGGTCTGGTAGGAAGTTAGGAGGGACCCCACACTTTTTCCCCTTATTTTTTTTGGGGGGTGGGGTTCCCCTTAGAAGTCCCTACCAGTCCTAAAGGGCCTGTTATGGCTTTTAGGGGGAACCCCGAAACACTTTAAAAAAAAAAAAATGGTCATTGGGTCCCTCCTAACCTTCCCACCGGACCTAAAGGGTCTGATATGGATTAGGGGGACCCCACACATCTTTTTTTTTTATATACAAATGTCAGTTGTGCTGCAGCAGGTCCTATACATTGTACAGATGTGCAACTTTGCAGGGAGTTTATGGGGACCCCCCCGGCATGATAATTACATTTTACATTTTTTTTTTTTGTTTTTTTTTACTTTAAGTAATGAAAAATGACGGCCCCTTTAAAAATGGTACTTTTTTTTATTTCCCACTGATTCCTGTCCCTCAGAACCGTCCCCGAGTCCCCATACCACTTCTGGGGCCAATAACTGGCATAAAAGCCTTCAGAATGGACACTTTTCCATTTACAAGTTCCAGTCCCATAGACTTGCATTGAGTTCGAAGTTTGCGGTTGAACTTTCGTCAAGTTGGAATGTTCAACCGAGAACCGAACAGGGGGGTGTTGGACCCGTCACTACTTATTAAATGTCTGTGTCCTTCTGTAGAAGAATTCTTCTAGCTACGTGTCTCAGTCCCAGCCTCTCCCTGTGTAGGAATGTACACCTTGCCCTGTGTAGGAGTGTACAGAACGGGTCACATTGGATACGGAGTGTCAGAGACTTTCCCCTTTCATTCTGTCTTCTTTCTCTCAGCGATGGCGTCTTCTGATCTGAGGAAGGAGCTGGAATGTTCTGTCTGTCTGGACATTTATACAGATCCTGTAACCCTGAGATGTGGACACAACTTCTGCCGGGACTGTATTGGCCGTGTGTTGGATACACAGGAGGGGTCTGGAGGTTATTCCTGTCCTGAATGCAGAGAAGAGTTCCAGGAACGTCCTGCACTGAGGAGGAACATAACACTACGTAACATAGTGGAGAACTTCCAGTCTACCCATCCAGAGCAGGAGGAGTCCGGGGTCTTCTGTACTCACTGTATTCACACTCCTGTACCGGCTGTGAAATCCTGTCTGCTGTGTGAAGCTTCTCTGTGTGACAACCACCTGAGAGTCCACAGCAAGTCACCAGAACACGTCCTATGTGACCCCACCACTTCCCTGAAGACAGGAAATGCTCCATCCATAAGAAGATCCTGGAGTATTACTGCACCGAGGACTCCACCTGTATCTGTGTGTCCTGCAGTTTGGTCGGAGAACATCGGGGACACCAGGTGGAGACTCTGGAGGAGGCCTCTGAGATGAAGAAGAAGAAACTGAGGAATGTTCTGCAGAAACTGATGACAGAGAGAGAGGAGATGGAGAAAAGAGTCCAGAGTCTGCAGGAACGCAGGAGGAAAGTACAAGGAAAAGCAGATGATGAAACCAAGAGAGTCACTGCCCTGTTCAGAGACCTCAGGAGACGTCTGGAAGACCTGGAGAAGAGAGTCCTGAGGGACATCTCTGGGTGGGCAGAGCGGGTCTCCCGTCCCATGTTGGATTATATTCAGGATCTGGAAATAAAGAAGGAGGAGCTGTCCAGGAAGATGAGGGACATTGAGGAGCTGTGTAACATGACGGATCCACTGACTGTCCTACAGGAATCAGACACAGGTGACTTGTGTGATACTGAGGATGGAGATGATGTGGACAGAGAGAGACATGAGAACCTCCTCCATGATGGAGGGGATGGGGATGATGTGGGGGGGATCTCACACACATTACACACGGGTTTATCTGATATCATGTCTGGGGTCAATGTACAGAAATGTACAGGCACACATGTCTCTCCACATTCTACTACAAAGGGCAAAGGTCCCATCAATGGTCCACCATCCAGGCCAGACCCCCAACCCTCCCCCACTAGAGGACCAAATATTGGGGCTGTACAGCAAACGGGGGGTGTCGGGGTTACAGACATATTACTGGATGTGAGGACAGCTGGTAATGATCTACATATATCAGATGACGGGAAAACTGCATCCTGGTCATCATCACATCAGAATCGGCCAGAAACACCAGAGAGGTTCCAGGGTCCTCAGGTGATGAGCAGTCAGAGCTTCTCCTCCGGGAGACATTACTGGGACGTGGATGTTGGGGGGGGCACGGTCCTGGACAGTCGGGATGTGTTACCCCAATATAGACAGGAGAGGAGATCAGTCATGGATTGGATAATAAGAAAATCCTGGGGGTTGGAGGGGTGGTTGTTGGGGGTGATGAGTACTCAGTGTACATGACAGTAATAGAACCCGATTCCCCGGCGGTGTCTCCAGTACCAGAGTCAGGATAGATCTGGATTATGAGGCCGGGCGGATCTCCTTCTATGATCTGTGTGACCCGATCCGACACCTCCACACCTTCACCACCACCTTCACTCAGCCCCTCCATGCCGGGGTATGTGTAGGGGATGGTTGTATAAAGATATGTGGGAGGAGCCAGAAGTGAGAGATTCGCCCAGAGACATCACAAGGGGGATGATCTGATGGTGATTGGTGCAATACTCAGCCAATAGGAGGAAGGGCAGGAAACAGGAGTGACATTAAAAAACAGTTAATTTTTTAACAATGAAAAAAATGATAGCTGAAAAATGAGCTTATGTTTTTCAATTGAAAAATTTGTTATTTTTTGTCAGTTGAAAAACGACAGTTATTTTTAACAGTTTGAAAAATTGCAAATTGTTTTGACAGTGAACAACAAATGAGGGTTTTATGACAATTAAAAGATGACAGGGTTTATTGGCAATTTAAAAATGACAGTTATTTTATTACGTTGAAAAATGACAGTTTTTTTGACTGTGGCAAAAAAACTGTTTATTTATGACAGTGGCAAAAAAATTACAGTTGAAACATTAAGGGGTTTTGACAGTTGAAAAATTCCATTTTTTTGTCAGTTGAAAATGGCAGTTATTTTTGACAGTGGCAAAAAATTACACAGTCATTTTTAATTTGACAAAAAAACTAATTTTTCAACTCTCAAAAAAACCCCTCTTTTTTAAATGTGATTTTTTTTTTTTCACTGTTAAAAATTATCTGCATTTTATTGCCAATGTAAAATAAACTGTCATTTTTCAACTGTTAAAATCAATGTAATTTTTCAACTGACAAAAACCCTCATTTTTCAATTGCCATTTTTTTCCACTGTCAAAAATGAACTGTCATTTTTTGCTACTGTAAAAAAATTAACTGTCATTGTCAACTGTGGACAAAATCCTCATTTTATTGCCACTGACATAAAACTCTGCCACTATAAATATATAACTGTCATTTTTCAACTGTGAATTTTTTTTTTACAACAAAAAATAGCTGTCATTTTTCAACTGTCAAAAAACACTAAATTTTTAATTTAGTTTAATTTTTCCACTGTAAAAAATAACTGTCATTTTCAACTGTCAAAAAAATAACTGTCATTTTTAACTGTCAAAAATAACTGTCATTTTTGCCACTCTAAATTTTCAACTGAAAACCTTAATTTTTCTACTGTCAATAAAAAGTTTTTCAACTGACAAAAAAACAAATTTTTGCCACTGTCAAAAAAAAACTTCATTTTTTAATGTGATTTTTTTTTTCAACTGTCACAAATGATCTGCATTTTACTGCCACTGTAAAATAAACTGGTATTTTTCAACTGCCAAATATAACTGTCATTTTTTTTCAACTGTTAAAAATAAATTTAATTTTTCAACTGTAAAAAATAACTCATTTTTATGACAAAAAATAACTGTCATTTTCAACTGCCAAAAACCCTCATTTTTCAACTATCATTTTATTGCCACTGACAAACAATGCTGTCATTTCTTTCCACTATAGAGATATAACTGACAGTTTCTCCTCTGCTTTCTCTACTTCCTCTATTGAGAGCCCAGCAAAATCTAAGCGTAGAATGACAGATATGAGCCCACAGCATGCTGGGACAGATTCTCCCACTAATACTTCCCATTCTGCAAGTCATTTCTCCCATCCAATGGGTAAGTCTCCTCCTACTAGTCCGCCTATTTCTCATCCATTCATGAAGGAGACATCATCCATACTGTCACCTATCATTCACTCTGCAACCAATCAGAGATGAAGGATCTCCGCCACAGAGCTGGGAGAATACGCCCCTTCCTTTAGACACGCCCACCACCAAAGGGATGAAGAAAGGGATTGGCTGAAACATAAAGTGTCAGCTCTGGAGGATAGATCACCGTGTAACAACATCCAAAAGAGGCCTTCCAGAATCCATCCAACCCGACCAATTGGGATCCAATCCCCAGATGGCGCCCAAACCCTCCTATGTGACACCTAAATCCCTCCACATGTCTTCATGACAACTCATTGTTGTCACCTCCAAGAAAGAATCCCGCAAATGGCACCCAAACCCCAACCTGTGCCTCTTTACAGCTTTTCACAGATTTATCTAAGCGCACCGTGCCACTCGGGACCGATCTCCTCCTGATAATAAACCACAAAATGATTGGTCGTTGGGGTCACCCCACTAAATTGATGGTCCCCAGAAATGAGTCCATCATCACAATCCACAGCCGGGAGGAAGGGGTGCAATGTCTCAGAGAGTGCAACATTCTCCCACAAAGCCACGCACAACATTCTACCGCCACCAGAGCATCTTCAGAGTGGAACCTGGTCACTGACCAATGCCAAACATTCACCCTATACCGCCATCTCATGGCCCCGCCCACGTCATGTCACAGGTGTAAGCCCTGCCCCTGAGGGGTACTACCCAACACAATACAATACTGTTTTCACTGCCTTCCGATCATGGCTGAGATCCTATTTGTTATGGATTTGTTCTCTGTATTTGTTTCTTTGTTTCTTTTTTGTTTCTACTATGGTGTCATTCCTGAGAGCCGGAATGGTTTACCTGACCTGCGCATACAAACGTATTACCGCTTTAGGGGCCCCTTGGTTCGGCCCCCATTAATGTTGGCAAATCTATCGATTCAATGGCTATAAAAATTACGTCTATTAATGGCGATGGCTTGAATCATCCGGCCAAATGTATACACATGTGGGAATAGGCATTCCAACATACATGTGATATACTCTGTGTTCAAGAGACTCGTTCCCTAGATTGGGCCCCTCCTAAATGCTGACACAAAATGTTTCCACGTGTCTGTACTGCCAATGCCTCGGAAAAAACAAGGAGGAGTAGTCACCACCATTAGAGACACACCAAACTTTGTTCTTCATACCAATATCTCCGCCCCCAAAGGCCGGCACCTGATACTTCTATGTACTTTAGATAATACCGGTGACACCATCGTACATTCATATCACCCAATACTCAGCAAACAACATACTTTACCCACATCTTCACACTCCTCTCCAAAAATCGTTCTGCTTCCCTCATACTATGCCGGGACTTCATCCTCATAGGTCACAGAAACCCGGACTCTGTAAAATCTCAGACTCCTCCCCCCAGATATGAGGTCAAGATGTAGAAGACCTGTGAGAGGACAACAGGCTATACATATAAGTTTCAGATTTATGAGGGAAAAGATAGTCACATGGACCCCCAGGATGCCCAGACAACATGGGGAGCAGTGGCAAGATAGTCACGTGGAGCCCCCCGGATGCCCAGACTACATGGGGAGCAGTGGCAAGATAGTTTGGGACTTGGTGTCATCCTTTTTCCATATGGGGTACCACTTATACGTGGACAATTTTTATTCAAACGTGCCACTATTTAGACATTTGTACAATCTTGGAATTTGCACATGTGGCACCGTGCGACATAATGTGTGCCCACCATTAGAAGTGGGTGGATGCAGGGCGGTATATTCTAATGGTGGGCATACCACACACTTTTTCTGGCAGTGATTTATTCTCTTTTTTTCATTCATCCAACAGGCTGCATACAAAAAAAGAACATAGTATATATACCCAACAAGGACCAGCGACATACTGGGACATCCCTGGACTTTGAATGGTTATACCAGGATGATGCCTACAGCTGCAGGCATCATCCTGGGATTGTTTTTTTTTCAGCCGGCAATTGGCTTTCATGTAAAAGCAATCCTATTGGCTTATTAGTTGCAGGATTGCTTTTACAAGCAGCGGGAGAAGATGCCCCCCTCCCCCACTGCCTTTCACTGCTTTCTCGGGCAGTCCCATGCCATCGGCGGAACCTGAGAATGCAGCCGGTGTTTCTGCCAGCTGACCATAGAGCTGATTGGAGACCAGAATGGTGCCAATCATCTCTATAGTCTAAGAAATCAGAAGCTACGAGCATTTCATCACTTCAGTTTCGCAGGATATAAACAGCGCCATTTGTAAATTGGGAAAGCATCTGATCACCGATCTTGGTGAGATGAGATAATGTAAGGGCAGAGGAGAGATCTAGAGTCTGATAGACCCCAGATTTCTCAAAAAAGTATATATGACAATGTCCATTGAAGTTATAGGGGATATTTGCATTCCCTGTGATAGCATTAAAAGTGATCAAATAAAATAAAAATGAAAGGGACAGTGCGCGAGCATTGACCCTGTGCCAGTATGTAAACAGCAGTTGCACCATGCATGTGAGGTATCTCCAAGAACGTCAGATCAAGGGCAGTAATTCTAACACTAGACCTCCTCTGTAAATCTAAAATGGTGGCTTCTAAAGACTTTTAAAGCATTGCCTATAGATATTAAAAATGTATGCAGTTTGTAGCCATTGCACGGGGCATGCACAGTTTTAAAGCATGTCATGTTTGGTATCTATTTACTCGGCATACCATCATCTTTTATAACTTTCCAAATAATTGGCCAATATATTGTGTTTTTGTGCATTAAAAGTAAAAAAGTGTATTTTTTTTTTTTAAAAATTGCGTTTGAAAAATTGTTGCTCAAGTACTATGTGACATACAAAATTGCAGCACCCACTATTTTATTCACTAGGGTGTTTGATTTAAAAATATCTAAAATGTTTGGGGTTTAAATTGATTTCCAAGCACAAAATACAGATTTTTTTCATGTGAACAAAAAGTGTCAGAAAAAGGCTTGGTCTTCAGGTGGTTAGAAGAGTGAATGATGTGTGGCATTAACTTCTAATGCTGGGCATAAAAT